ATTTGTTGTATGTTGAGACGGAGCTCGGCGCCAGAACTGCAACTGATAAAATGCACGATACTACGATATTTCTTCAAAAGCAGATCGTGGAGACATTTTAATCGTCCACGATCAAAAACTGTGATATCGCACACCTCTACTCTCATTTGTTTTGGTCTTGCCAATATACCCAGTATTTTTGGAATAATGTGGAGATTTTCATTGCTGATAATATTTTAAAAACATTTAAATTATCGTACAAACATGTGATTTTGGGCTATTATATTAAGGATCGCTCTTTAAAGGATGTTGGTTTTATTATAAATTTTATTTTATTTCTATGTAAATTTCACATTCATTAATGCAAGTTTACAAAAGGCAAACCTCTTTTTATGGTGCTTAGGAAAGAGATTAAAATGTATGTTGACATGATGTCAAAATCAAAAAATAGTAAAGCAATTAAAGTGATTAATATATGCGCCACCTTTAACATTTTCACATAATATAAAAATATAAAATATAATGAATGGTGCTGATCTGTAAAGTATATTATCTGTATTTAAATTGCATTGGAATACCCTGTGGAATTGTTAAATGTATAATGTATATCTATTTGTAAACTGATGCTTAAGTACCCTCTCATCTTTTTATTTTATTTTTATTATTATTTATTTTTTCTTCTTGTTGAGGCATGTGAATTATTTGTTTGTTATATGAGATATGACACTGTACATGCTACCTGTTGTTGACAATAAAAGCATAAAAAAACAACAACAAAAAACAACAACTCAACCTGTAAGAAATCGAAAGGACATAAGCACTCGTTCATTCAACTTTCAACCTATATCCCATGTTGAACTTGCAGAACCTACATTCAAATCTGAGATTTCTCAATGACAATCAGGTAAAAGAGACAAATTTAGCCGTCTAGCCCCATTGACTCCCATTCATTTTGCACTCGGACGATCGCCCCCAGTGGAACTCTGGTGGAACTACAACCAAAATTCGGTACAATAGGACTTAATAGGGAGTGGCCAGGCTTCCCGTAGACGGGCTTTGGCTGTGATTTAAACATGGGAAGTGACGGTTAATCAGAAATGAATGGATGAGATGGATGAAGGTACAGAGGGAACTTTGAATAATGTTGGATGGCAGATAGTCAGTAAGAATGGTAAAAGGAAAAAAAATGTCATGAAGTAATCTCTATAGACATTAACACCATTACTGGACCATTCAATAGTATGACTGGTTGTCTAACAATGGACCTCTTAATGCAAATGGGTGAAGTGTCCCTTTAAAGGTTAAAAGATTACAAAATGTGAGAATTTAAGTGAAAAACATTGATTCATTTTCAGGAGATCAAATTGCTGTCAGTGCTTCATTAATTGTTTCTATAGTGATATATTTGTCTTCCAAGTATTTTTCTGCTGCCCTGATTGATTCTTTCTGTTCTACTATGTTTTGGCTGAGCAACTAATCACTTCTGCTGAATATCAGGAACTGTGTTCACTATTAGAGGTTTCTTTGTCACCCATATGACTCCTCTCATTCTCAGGCATTCTAACTGTACTTAAATTGCCATGACGAATACAATGTTGATGTATTCTTGCCTCTCTTAATTGCTTCTGCATATGAGATCACTTCTGTCACTTTAATGTTCTGAATCTTTACTGCTCTTTTCTTTACATCACATTCCTCATATGCAGCACTATGCTCTCTCCCCCACAGTTGCTTTGTTCCTTCTCCACACACTCCATACTGATGTTCTTCACCACGTTTCCCAAGGTGTTGCTTAGCATTACACACAGCCATCACATGTCCATTTCTTTGACAATTAAAACATCTTAGGGGTGGTGGAATATACTCTCTTACTGGGTAGCTCATACACCCCATTACTCTAGTAATGTACACTATAGAAACAATTAATGAAGCACTTAGAGCAGGACCTGCAGGCTCACAAATGTCCAGTTGGGAAAATAGGATTGAATCTAATAGAGTGGAACAGAAGCCTTATTGCAAACGGACAAGAGTTTAAGATGTTTATTGATGAATTAGGAAAGAACCCTGAAGCTACTGTATATGCATACAATAAACATGGCTAAAACCACATCTTGAATTTACAGTGTACGTAAGGATAGGGAAACAGGAAATGGAGGAGTAGTGGCTACTTTTACAAAACAAGGCCTGCATTTTACAGAGAAAGAGAATAATAAGGCTGAGGCATGCAGTATAAAAATTTGTCCAGATAATAGGAGCATTACTGACATACTAACAGACTTAATAAAGATATATTTGAAGGTACTTTTCAATTAAAGCAGTATTTTATGTTAAACAATGCCTTTTAAATCAATCCATCTGGTGGAAGTAAAAAAAAGAAAAACACAGTTAATTTGTGTGTGTAATGTGTAACCCCTTCCTTGATGTCCGTGTTTTTACTGCATTGTGGCTGAAATATTGGTTTTATTTCCCGGATTTGCAAAAACTTGCTATTGCATTACAGTCACACCATATATTGATATATATTTTGCACTCTTGATATCTTAGAGTGTCACCTCTTCATTGCAGTACAGTTTTCTGCACTGTGGATGATTTGTAGATTGTACACACAAAACATTCTCTGTATTTTCATATTTTTGAGTATTTCCCATTCATAGTGGTCAAACAAAACAAGTGTTGAATATTTTTTACAACCATAAAGCTTTTATCGAATTAAGTCCAAAATTTGTTTTTGTGGTCACATAAAAGTAATCAAGTTTTGTACCATTCGGATGAAGTAGCGATTTTTAAAATTTTCAGTCTAAAATTACCAAACAACAGAGATAAACAAACTCCAGCTGGTCCAAAATAGATAGAGTTCTTACTAGAATCAGGAAGTATGACCATATTAGCCCGTTTCTGTCAACATCGCATGCATTTTAAAATCTTGCTAATTACTTAAAAGACACTAAATGTTTTAGCGCCTCATTACTAGAGCGAGCTCTTAACGCATCATAGTCCTTCAGGTGTATTGCAATCTCTAAATTTTGGCCAGTTGATAATACCTAGAATATCAAAATCAACTGCAGGCAGTAGATCTTTTTCCTATTTAGCACCCAAACAGTCTTCATAGCCTAGTGTGGGAAGCAGACACACTGTCAGTTTAAATCTAGACTAAAAAACACATCTCTTTAACCTGGCATACAGATAACACCATCACATTTCTATAATTCACATCCAATTAAGGATTGTTATAGGCTGCATAAATTAGGTCAACCGAAAACACTTCCCATAACACCCGATGTACTTGTTACATCCTAAGAAGAATTGCATCTACTTAAATATTAGTCTCTCTGGTTATCCCGAGGTTACCGTAGTCAGCCATATCCAGATCTGTACCTAGACACAACCACAATTCAGCCCTGAATGTTAACAGAGATCCTGTCAACTAGACAATCCCCTGTGCAGGCCTTGTTGGCACGACAGCCATCGACACAGATCGTCAGCAAAGACCACAAGAACCAGACAAGTCCTCTGCACAGCCCTATGACCAGCTTCGGCTCCATACTGGCATGATGAATCCGATCTTCAAGCAAAAGGATTCTTTATATTCTGGATGAAATATATGCTATCAATCCACAATTTGATTTCTGACTTGTGATGCAGCCTGAATCATAATCACACCGTGTTCATTCATTTGCCAGAGGAAAACTGGCCCCCTGACTGAGCATGTTTTCTCCAAAGGTGTTTTCTCTATTCGGCCACCTGATAGAGTTTGGGTTCTGGCTTGCTAAATATTCAACAATATTATTGTTTTGACTGCACTGATACTATTGGATGAGAACTGAACTGAGCTGGGCGATGACGTCACTGTTTTCTGCAGAACTGCTTTATAAATGAAATAAACAAATTTAATTATTGATGATCCTTACAATGGAACTGAATCAACACTGAGTAGCAAGCCAGAACCCAAACTCTATCAGGTGACCGAATCGAGAAAACACCTTTGGAGAAACCATGCTCAGTCAAGGGGCCAGTTCAGTTGACTTAAGCTAAACAATGACACTATTTCCCTTTCGAGCTGCTGTGCAGCTGAAATGAACTCTGTCTGCATAATTTAATCATTTTCCAGTTAACACTGTAAAGCTGCTTTGAAACAATCTTTATTGTAGGCCTATATATATTCCAGTATATAAATAAAGGTGACTTGACAGGTAGTGATGGGCGATTTCGAAACACTGTTTCATGAAGCTTTAAAACCTTTACAAATCTTTTGTTTCGAATCAGTGGTTCGGAGCATGTATCAAACTTCCAGATTTCAGTAAAAGAGGCTTTGTTACGTCATAACTGTTTCGAAACGTTTTGAAATTTCAATGGTTTACCACTGGTGGGTGATCTCTGTGAAGCCATGAATCATGTGGATTCACTGAGATCACCCCCCAGCAGCGAACTGTTGAAGTGTCTTTGGATCATTTCCCTCTCTCCTGTTCCCTCTCTCTCTAATTATTCTGCCCATATCTACTCTGTCTGAACACTGCTTAAGTGCCAGAGTGTTTTGTGCTTCAAGAGCTGTTCCTGTCAAAATTCTTGCCCTGCCCTGCCAGGTTTGTCCTGATCAGTGTTGTGTTCCAGTTCTCTGTCCAGTTCTGCTTTGCCCAACCTGAGGTTTTCCTCCCAGCCATACCCATACTCTTTACACGTCTCAACTCGAGTTGTGGCTGCAGGTCCAGAGTGATCTCTGGTTACTGACTTCTTTCCTGGCCCTGACCTCACTCTTGGGTTTGTCCTCTGGACTGACCTTTTGGCTCCAACTTTAACCTGGCCCTGATATTCCTCTGAGGGATGGAGTTCATTCTGGGACTCAGTGGCCTGCAGGCTCATTTGCCTTTTGTTTCAGACTTAAATTCATACTACTATGAATATACTATTCAAACTATTGGTTCCTCAGTCATAATATGAACATATGATTCTGCGATAAGAAGATATTGAGAAGATTAAACTTTGCTTGTGTGTTAGAGGCATTCTACTGTGAATTTTAAGCTCACCTGTTTCACTCAGGCTTGAGCTGGAGGGGGTGGAGGCCAACATCTCTCTGCTCCCATCTGCACTGTTCTGAATCCCGCTGTCTTTACTCCTCACTGCCATTACAAGAACACAATCAAAACATGCATGAGCCATGAGAATATTGCAGCAATATAACCTGGCATGCCATAGTGTTGTTACACATTGAACAGGTGGGGAAAATAACAAACTTAATTCAAAACATCAAATATGTAATTAGTACCTATCTGGCTCCATAAAGTCAACTCATGATAGACATAAGAGACAGACAGCACTGATTCATGGAATATGGCACTTACAGCTTTGCAGCTTTGAGGATGTATCAAAGTAGGAAAAAAGAGAATCAAGCTCATCGGGGCAGAACAGCGAATCACGTCGTACCTCCTGACCACTAATGGAAGCTGTTCACAGTAGAGGGAAAACAAAGAAGCATTAGTTTTCAGTCAAATAAAACCCCACCTGGCTGAAAGATACAACTGATTACAGCCAGTTTTCTGTCTTTGATCTGCAGTCTCCCAGCATTCACCTGAGGTACTGGAGGCAGTTCGGAGTTTGGGTGTGGGAGGGGGAGGCCGCGGGGGAAGAAAATCCATGTTTCCCTTTATACGTTTGTCAAGTTTTCTAAACGTCATGATCTTTTCCTTCTGCTCCTGGGCTGTAGGTTTCAGGACAAACCTCTTTTCTACATACTTAGCACGGATGAAGGCTTCGATCTCCTGTCTTGGATTGTACAGACAGAAATTAAGAATTAAGTATTAAGAATATTTATTACACTTTATATAGATATGGTGACTGTAGAGGCCATTTACCTGATACAGTGGCTGGTATGTTTAAATAATCATGTTAAACAGTGAATTCATTACAGATGATTCTGGAAATAAATCTCCACCAATCAGAATAGAAATTAGCAAATTGTGTCAAAAGAACTCTTCAGCACCGCCCACTCCCATGCAGCACTGAGAATCACACAAAATCCTATGCTGTTAAACTACTTAAATATTTGTATATTTGCAATACACTTTTAATATGTTTCATGGAACCCTTGCAATGTGTTCAAAATGGAACACGCTAAGCCCTTGATCACTTGGAATCTGCTATGGTGCTGATTTATTATTTACATTTCCCCCCTTATTTACAGTTTTTTTTATTATTATTTATGCACCATTCTATAGGCCTGTATGTATGATTGGACTGTTAAAAAAATTTAATATAGAAAATGAAATATATTTATATATTTATAATAAATATTAAATGTAAAAAAATCCACACAAACAAAAATGATAACAATACAATCTACTATAACTGTTAAAAAACAGTCAGCTTAAGGTAGCTACAACAAGTACAAAATGGGGTTAAATGTCAAAATAACATCATCAATCATTCACTAGATTTGTGAGGGATGGGGGTAAATTAAGTGCAATTTGCTGTGGCGTCACAATCATGGGTCATTGTGGTCTATGGATCTGCCCGAGTGTACATGCTGAGTAGATTGTCCAAGGGTCTGTCCACTCGACGAAGTTGAACGCACAAAATGGTGGTGGGGATTCCCATGAGGGGAAGTGCTTAGGGAAGTTTGCGAGTGTATGTCTAAAAGTGGAGTTAAAAGTAGCCACAAAGAGCCATGTTTTCCACTAACACTTTGCAAAGTATTGCCAGTCTTACCTCTTAACATAGTGCATTCAATCACTTCCGCCAACAAGAACTGAGCCGGTAAGGTTTGCACTACCAGATAATTTTGATGGTTCTGCTGAAAATGTTTACATCAATGTAGAATTTACTTTTCCAATCATCCCGAAGCATTTCGTCAAGATACTACAAAATATCCATTTATGATGACTTTGCTCACTGGAAAGGCATTGGATTTGGCTTCGGCTATGTGGGACAATGGTATACTTCTTTTTAAATATTTTGCACAGCAAATTTAAGATGTCTTTCAATATTCTGCAGAAGGGCAGGATTTCTCTGTACAGTTATCTGTACTATATGCCAAGGTAATCGATCAGCCACTGATCAGCCATCATTTCACTCTATCCATCTCCATTGAGATTTCTAATAAAACACAATATGTTTAAGAGCTAGTGGATTCCGGGGCTGCAGTCAATTTAATATATGACCATCTCATCCAGGAACTTAAGATCCCCACTCTGCCATGCATCCCTTCAATTAATATCACAGCAGTCGACAAAGAACCCATAGGACAAGGCATATCAGAACAGACAGTCCCAATAACTCTACAAGTTGGACTGTTTCACACTGAAAATGTTCTATGTTCCACTCTGAATGTTCCAATTCAATCTGACTTTTGGAGTAATGTTGCCTGAATCATAATCATACACTGAGAACTGGCCCCCTGACTGAGCCTGGTTTCTCCCAAGGTTTTTTTTCTCTCCATTCTGTCACTTGATGGACTTTGGGTTCCTTGCCACCGTCACCTTTGGCTTTTGGCTTGCTTAGTTGGGGACATTTAATATTTAACAATTTTATTGACACCTGCATTGACACTGCATTGACACCATTATATGAGAACTGAACTGAGCTGGATGTTACTTCCTGCTTCTTAGGTATAAAGAGACATGTTTTCCTCTAACACTTTGCAAAGTTTCTTGTTATGACATTTTGGCTGTTTCTTGGCTATCATGTTTATTGGGTTACTTTGCTGTGATTGCCTCTTTGGACTGTCTATTTTGTTCAGTGAACCTAGCCTGTATCTGTGACCATCTCTTTGCCTGTTGATTTGGATTTATTACTTAATAATTCAATACAACTTCTGCAAATGGATTCAAAGCCAAAACCAAGCCTGAGTCTGTTACAGCTGTATAGCTACCAGTCATGTCTTTTATTGAAAATGACCTCAGAGGACTACAGTTTTACTATTACTATAATATTGTTGCAGTGTTTATCTTGTGGTTCACATCTATCAGAATTTAAGTCAAAATAAGGAGTGGCTGGGAATACCTGGGGTCTCCAGGCTGAGGTTTCTTTCCGCCCATCTCTTCTCTACGAGCTTCGTAAATCTGATTAATGACACAATTTCCCAGCTTGCACATCAACTGCAAACAGAAAAAAACATAAAGTGAAAAGACTGCTGAACATATTGCACAAATAAAGAACAAAATGGTATGAACATTTACCTTAAGCAACTCTGGCTCCCATGAATCAAGTGTGAGGGATCGCACCTTTGAATTGTGAACTCCTAAACTCCTGAGAAGAAAATATGGGGAATAACATACAAGCGATCCACAAAATAAGTGGAAAGCTGTGAATGCATTTGTGAGGAAGTAAAAAACATTTTGTTCTTTTTGGAAGACCTACAGTATAATCATGCATGCCATTACTCCAGTCTTCAGTTTCACACAATCCTTCAGTAATCATTATAATATTAAATTGATTAAAAGTGACAGTCAAGACATTTATAATGTTACAAAAGATTTATATTTCAAATAAATGCTGTTCCTTTGAACTTTCTATTCATTAAGGAATCCTGAACAATCCTGCCACAAAATATTGAACAGCAAAAATTCTAATATGGTGATTTGGTGGTCAATTATTATCAATTATTATTGGTGCTCAATTATTAATAATGGTTCTTATTATTATATATGTTGACTGTTTTCAACATTGATTATAAATATCTTTTTATTTAATGACTATAAAGCTCAAAAGAACAGCATTTATTTGAAATAGAAGTCTTTTGTAACACTATACATGTCTTTACTGTCACGTTTGATCAATTTAAAGCATCTTTGTGTCACAGTTATGTTTTGTTTGTTTGTTTGTATTACTTTGTGAAGCGACCTTGGGTTCTTGAAAGGCGCTATAAAAATAAACATATTATTATTATTATTGTTAGTTTTGTTTTTCATAGACTTTCAGTTTGTTTTCATTTGTCACGTGTCTTCCTTGTTCAGTTTTCCCGCTCCTCATTTGTGTTTTTGGTTTCAGCTGTGTGTAATTAATTAGTGTCGTTTGTGTTTGCTATATAAGTTGAACCCTCACATTAATTTTCTGTTTGTTCACGTTCACGTTAGGTGTGTTATTGGATTATCTTGCCTGTGTGGATTTATTAAACTTCGTTTTGGAATTATATTCTTCTGAGTCTTTGTCTGTCTGCCTGCTAGGCACACACCCTGTATTGTGACACTTTGCTGAATATAAGTATTAACCCATTTCAAGTGACCGTAAAAAAAATGTGTCATTTCTAAGGCTATAAAAATGTTACTGAATGCATTTCCAGCAGATATTGAAATAATAAAGGGTCTCAATGAAATATGTGCAGTGTCGCATGTTTACTGTAAATTGTCACATGACCAGAGCTGTTTATTTCCTGTTTGTGCCAAGAGAAGAGGATTGCAGCAAGAAAGCTCCCAAAGAAAAGATTAGTAAAGTATGTTAACATAAAGATAGGACATAGATTTTTGGTACACATCATGTTTAAGGTGTCTAGTATTGATATATGCATTTGCAATTACTCAACTTTGTTTAATGTGTTCATAGAACTCACAAACATGTCAACGGCAACAATAGTGACCGGTGGGATAACACATTGGATCTATATGCTACTACACAAAGGCTAACTTGTTCTACCTTACTTTCTGCTGCTACCTAACTTACTACCTAATTTTACATACAGACACATACACAGAAACACACTCACACTCGCACATCACACACACACACCACGCACGCCACACACTCCACGCCCGCCACACACACCCCACACACACGCACACTCCACACACATCACACGCACACCACACACCCCACACGCACACCCAACACCACGCACACCCCACACGCACGCACGCCACACACCCCGCACACCGCACACCGCAACACACCCCACACACACACACCCCACACGCACACCCAACACCACGCACACCCCACACGCACGCACGCCACACAAAACACCACACACCCCACACGCACACAAAACACCACACACCCCACATGCACACCCCACACGCTCCACTCACATCACACACCCCACACCACACACCCCACATGCACACCCACACGCATGCACACCACACACCCCACACTCACATCACACACCCCACATGCACACCCACACGCACGCACACCACACACCACACACACCACACATCCCACATGCACACCCACACCCACACGCACGCACACCACACCCCCCCCCACGCTCCACTCACATCACACACCCCACACCACACATGCACACCCACACGCACGCACACCACACACCCCCCACGCTCCACTCACATCACACACCCCACACCACACACCCCACATGCACACCCACACGCTAGGGTTGCCGCGGTGAGGAAAATTTCCCACCGGTTAATCGACGTGTCACAACACCGGTAATCCCGGTGTCACCGTGGGGGGCGGGGCGGGGGGGTTAAATAGCTTTTAAATGCGTGCGCGTTATACTTTCACTTTCGAAATAAGCGTCAATTGGCAATTCAGCGTCAATTGCTTGAATGGACAAAAAAACAACAACTCGGCTCGCTGATAATAAAACTTTTATTTATAGAGAGAACTTTTATTAGCATAACGAACGAATAAAAATAACCCCATGCATAGGCTGAAAATCGTCAAACTGTGGGCCTAAACAAATAAGAACCATAAAACGTTTATTAACGAATAAGAAAATAAAACAGGCCTAAATAAATTACACATTCCGCCATTATCTTGCTTTTCTGTAATTTGACTCGTTCTCATCTCCACACGTGCTAAATGGAATCCTGATGCTTGCTGATCTGTGACGTGACTGGCTCTTGGCACGCACTGCGCAGTTCAGTTTTTAATTATAATGTATGCTCTCTTCTGAACTAAATAATTGATAATTATTATTTTTAATTAATTCAAATAAATATTTTAGCAAAAACGAATACTTTAAAAAAGTCAAGACATCGCGTCACGGTGGGAAAGTGATGTCACCGGTGATGGGGCTTAAAACCAAGGGGGTAATCCATCGACCGGAAGTTGAAGCCGGCCGGGTGCCGCCATGTTGTAGCAGAACTTCACTTGCGTTAGCATTTCCATTGACTCCCATTCATTTTGGCGTCACTTTGACAGCGAATAACTTTACATCTGAGGCGTTTAAAGACTCCATTTGTCCATTATTTATTTCTAAAGAAACACGACAATGTATAAAGGGCTCCATTACCTTCTATGTTACATTATGGCCCCGTAGAAACCGATTTAGTAAAAATAGGCTAACGATTGCGTCATAACCACTCGACTCTCTGTCGCGCTGTACAGAAATTACCGAACAGACAGGAGGAGAAGCTCGCAGGCAATCGGGGGGACGTCCCGTCAAGGGAGAAGCCCATAGATAATGAGTCCATAAAAGCAACGGAATACTTACTCCTGCTCACTCACGCCAAAGAACTCTTTGCTCAAGTTCCCCGTCTCTGCAAGATTAACGTTGGCAATTTTCACGCACACCTACTAGAAGATTAACGTCTGTCAGACAGGTTGCTCACGTCATCAAGCTTAGTTTGAGTCGGTTTGAGTCTGCGCGTCAGGAACGGAAGTGCTCAAAAATCGCTAAAAATGGGCTTCAACTGTCTCAACTGAGTTCCAATGAGATGGCTCTGTCCATTTCTTATACTGTCTATGCTTAAAACCGGTAACACCATCAACACCGTCTATCGCGGCAAGCCTACCACACGCACCCACACCACACACCCCACACCACACACCCCACATACCCCACACTCACATCACACACCCGACATGCACACCCACACGCACGCAAACCACACACCACACACACCACACACCCCACATGCACACCCACACGCATGCACACCACACACCCCACACGCACGCACACCACACACCCCATACGCACACAAAACACCAGACGCCCCACTCACATCACACACCACACACCGCAACACACCTCACACGCACGCACACCCCACAAGCCCCACACACTCACATCACACACCCCACACCACACTCACCCCACATGCACACCCAACACCACACACTCCACGCATTCCACACACACACCCAACACCACGCATTCCACACACACACCCAACACCACGCACCCCACACACACACCCAACACCACACACCCCACCACGCACGCCACACACCCCGCACACACTCACATCACACACCCCACATGCACACCTAACACCACACACCTCACCACGCACACCACACCTCACCACGCACACCACACACCGACACCCCACACGCACGCACACCACCACACACCCCGCACGCACGCACACCCCACACGCACGCACACCCCACACACACGCACACCACACACCCCACACACACACACACCGCACACCCCCCACCCCACACACACGCACACCACACATCCCAACCACACACACACGCACATCACACACACACACACACATACCACACGCACACCACACCCCACACACGCACACACACACACACACACACACACACACACACACACACACACACACACACACTGCACAGGTCAAATAGACCTATATTCAGTCTGTCCAATGGTTGATACAACACAGTATCCCACCGGTCACAATTGTGACCGATCATAAAACTCACTTTTTCACACACCTTTCCATGAAAATTAAAAAAAATTATGATTGATTGTTTCATAGGGATACTAATGACACATGATTTGGATATTTTTGTGTCTGGGAAAAAATTGGGATTAAATGGGTTAATTAATTTCTTTCTTTCTTTTTTAAAATCATACTTACTTCAAACTTTTGAATGGTAGTGTATCACGGTTTCCACAAAAATATGAAGCAGCAAAAGCGGTTTTCAACATTTAATGATAATAAGAACTGTTTCTTGAGCACCAAATCAGCATATTAGAATGATTTCTGAAGGATCATGTGACACTGAATATTTTAAAATATATCGGAATAGAAAAGAGTTCTTTTAAATTGCAATAATTTCTCACAATATTATTGTTTTAACTGTATTTTTTATCAAATAGATACAGCCTTGGTTGGTAAGCATAAAAGTCTTCTTTTTTTAAAAAGAAGACTTTTATGCTTACCAATATATAATATTCTTGAATTCTTGAATATCAATCCAAGAATTTGTTTTAAAGAATAATTGCTTGTCTAAGTCTTGTCTTCAGTCTATTAAATAATTCATATTTTTTAATGTTTTACATTAAAAAATATGAATTATTTAATAGACTGAAGACAAGACTTAGACAAGCAATTATTCTTTAAAACAAATTCTTGGATTGATATTTTGTTAGTATGGTGCAATTTTTAATTGTCTATTGAATTTCCTTAACCTTAAAAAAGAGCGAGATAGACAAGCAATTAACTTAAGTTAGTTAACTTTTGAACAGCAGTAACTAAGCAGTGTTGTATTCCAAACAAACAGTCTCTAAGACAACTGTACAGTAGTTTTCACTTTAGTGGACCACATGCAGACCTCACATGTAAACACTGTGACAGTACCTGTGAATGCCTGAGCACTCAATACAGAGCGTGATGCCAAGGTTGATGCTAGCCCAGCGAGGATCACTCTGGCTACAGTCACAGCAGAACTCATTCCCAGTGATGGCCAGCACCCTCTGTAGAGCACTCTCGCCTTTAATTGGCTTCACCAAATCACAGCCTGAGTCAAGACTGCCCATAGATGCTGATGACTGCCTGTCCAGGTTCTACAGCATGTGAAATATATTCATTTTAGATGAAAAGTAAATAATAGTGGTCTAGCAGTAGTGGTCTGATATAGGTTATTCAATAGCAGATACAATCTTATAATCTTGTTGAAAGGATTATAATTTCCTGACAGACATGGCAAGGTTAACTTTTAATTAACTTTCTATACGTACACCCGTTCATATTACCCGGTTTAAAAAAAAAAACAGCCTAAGATGGTTTGCTGGTCAGGCTTGTCTTTTGGTTGGTTTTAGAGGGGATTTGGTTATTTATTCGCTGGTTGAAAATTACCTCAGAATAATTTGCTGGAGAAACCAGCTGATGACCCAGTTAACAGGGATATTTTTGATCAGTCATTTGGCTAGTTTTGTTTAGGAGACCTGGCAACCCTGGTAGGTGTTACCAGTAGTTCCACAGTGTTTGTTCCACACTGAGTGTAATAAATGTACTTGCTCATCATGGCATCTGTCATTTTGATATTTTATACAAATAAAAACGATTTAGTTCAGGTGAACAACGAATGCTAAAATTATAAACATCTGCAGACACATTCATCAATTCATCATTCTGTTTATGTTCGCCGATCATTGTTTATATGTGCATAAAAAGCCTAAATTCAATCTGTTCATCATATTAAGTGATCGTGTCTCCATAAAATTTGGACTAACCTGCTCAATTCACAAGGATTAGTTTTACGATCTCTTTAAGAACTTTTTGAAGCGTGAATGGATGGACAGAAATTTCTCAGATTTCATTAAAAATATCGGTAACAGTTTATAATAACTGCACTGCAATCATTAGCTTAGCATTAATAAACAGTTAATTCATAATTTATAAAGCATTAATAGACACTAATAAGCAGTTTATAAATACAGCTATATATGTTTTATTCTTGATTTATAAGCATATCTGAAATGTGTTTAATAATTGTATTTTCATACTTTATTAAAGTAACACTATGTAGTTTTTCAACCTTCATAATATATTTCCAAGACCCTTGTGAAGGTACATCGACTTAAAATAAGTTAAATGACACGTCTGCCATAGCCTGACGTGATCTGTATCGCTTTTACTCGCACTATGTAACTTCGGGTTTCGGGTAGGAACCCGTGCACAAAAAGAACTACAAAATTCAAATGCTTTACGGCATACGTCACTTCCCCCACCACTTCCTCAAATTGTCTGTGGCCATTGCAGACATCCCAAGTCTCCCGGGAGTCTCCCGCATATTGATAGCGTCTCCCTGATGCCCGAAAATTAGTTCAAATCTGCCGGAATCTAGAGCGCGCATGCGAGACAGAACATACTGCGCGCATAACATACATAGCGCGAGCATGGCAGAGAGGGAGGGAGCGAGAGACCTTGCGAGTGTGCCTCACGAAAGCTAGTCAACCCTCCACCCCCGGTCAACAATCCAGTCACCAAGATATACCTCCCTGAAATGACTTCTTGAAGGTTGGGATGTCTGCCATTGTTGATTCCAAAGCCGGTGCTGGATAAACAGCGAGTGTGCGCGTACGACAGTAGGCTGCGGTAGGCTAAATTACTTACGACAGCGGTAATGGACAATTCCGCTTCCAACCTGTAGGGCGACCGCAGAGGAAAAGTTCCTTGGTGTTGCTTTAATGATCAATTCATAATTTCGGTAACACTTTACAATAAGGTTAATTTATTAAACATTATTAATGTATTAACTAACATGAACTAACCATGAGCAATACATTTGATACTGTTTTTGTTAATCTTTGTTAACATTAGTTAATACAAATCCAGCTGTTCATTGTTTGTTCATGTTAGTTCACAGTGCATTAACTAATGTTAACAAGATTTTAATAAAGTATTAGTAAATGTTGAAATTAACATTAACAAATGCTGAAGAAGTATTGTTCATTCTTAGTTAATGTTAACTAATGTAGTTAACTAATGAACCTTATTGTAAAGTGTTACCATAATTTCTAAATGAAGAATTGCTTTATTTACAAACCAGTTATTTAGGAGTTGTCAAACATTTAAATTGTTTATTAATCATTTACTTACACTTTCTAAGTGATCTTATGAACCACTGACAACTCCTAAATAACTGGTTTGTAAATAAAGAAATACTTCATTTAGAAATTATAAATGATCATTAATAAAGTATTAAAATACAATTATCAAACACATTATAGATATGATTATAAATAAGAATAAAGCATTTATAGCTGTATTTATAAACTGCTTATTAATGCCTATTATTGCTTTATAAATGATGAATTAACTGTTTAATAATGCTTAACTAATGATTAATAGCATGCAGTTATTATAAAGTGTTACCAAAATATCTTCATTTGTTTTCCGAAGATGAACGAAAGTCTTAAAGGTTTCGAGGGACTTGAGGGTGAGTAATTGATGACAGAATTTTCATTTTTGGGTGAACTATCGCTTTAACTCAATGTTCACAATGTTCACTCGTTCACAATCACCCGAATTCTGATCAGCAACACTTGCACCAGCTTCTCAGTCACTTCTCAGTTCACCTTTGTCTGGTTGTTCCAAACCGAGCTACTTACCTAACTACCTACCTAAGATATTACCAGTGCGATCTGATCTTCAGTCCTCTTCAGTCTTCAGTCATCTTCCGTCTCCAGCCTTCCAGTTTACTTCAATCTGCACTTACAAAGATAGGAAAAGTAGAATGATTTCTCTGTTGACAGGACGAGCTTTGCAGTGGGCAAGATCCATTTGGGACGCGAATGGTGCCGTTACTCACTCGCTGACGGCTTTCACAACCCACTTCAAAAAGGTATTCGGTCAAACTGCCAGTTCATACTCTGCATGATCAACTATATTGATTACTTCAAGGGAGATCCACCGTTACAGAATAAGCACTCCAATTTTGTACACTAGCTACCATCAGCGGTTGGAACGAAACAGCTTAGATCACAGCCTACCGTCAAGGTCTCAATTCTGACATCCGTCAACAGATAATAATAATAATAATATGTTTATTTTCTATAGCGCCTTTCAAGAACCCAAGGTCGCTTCACAATGTAATACAAATAACAAACAAATAGCAAACAAACAACAAGCGAACAAATACAAAGGCCATCTGCTTACGAGAGACAGAACAGTTGGAAACAAGCATACACTGGTTTGAATGAAAAGATAGAGATATTGCATTATTTATCAAAATATGCTATTATGACAAAGTATGTAGCAGGTAGAGTTGGAAAAGTGTAGAACAGAGAAAACAGTGATGAGGATAATGATTTATTGGGCAAGCTTGAAGAAATGAGTTTTCAGATGTTTTTTGAAGGACCGGATGTTGTCGTTCGCACGAAGATTCGGGGGCAGCTTATTCCAGAGCGTAGGGCCAGCAACATTAAAAGCCCTACCGCCCACCGTGGAGAGTCTGACCCGGGGTACCACGAAAAGGTTTTCCGTGCTAGATCTGAGGGCCCGAGTTGGAACATATGGCTGTACCAAGTCAACAAGGTATTTGGGTGCCGGGCCATGTAGGGCTTTAAATATTAGGATTAACAGTTTAAATTGGATGCGGTGTATGACAGGAAGCCAGTGCAGTTGGTGAAGGATAGGAGTGCTGTGAGCAGATTTTTTATTATATGTGAGGGTGCGTGCAGCCGAGTTTTGAACCATTTGAAGACGGTGTATTGCTTTGGTGGGTAGTCCGGTATATAATGAATTACAGAAGTCCAATCTGGAAGTGATAAAAGCATGAATAACAGTTTCCGCATCTGTAAAGGTAAGAGAGGGGCGAATACGAGCAATATTCCGCAGGTGGAAGAAGCAGGATTTGACAGTCTGACTAATGTGTGAGTGAAAGCAGAGCGTGGGGTCGAACAAAACTCCCAGATTCCGTACAGTTTTTGAAGGCCTAATCTCAACACCATCTATGTCAATAAAAATGTCATGTCTGGGTGAGCTCTGTGATCTAGGGTTGATCAACAGGATTTCTGTTTTACCAGCATTAAGCTGCAAAAAGTTAGAGGACATCCATGTTTTAAGGTCGTGAAGGCAGGAGATAACTGAAGGGGGTGGAAAAGATGAGTTCGGGTCAATCGTGAAGTAGATTTGAATATCATCAGCGTAGCTATGAAAATTGAGACCATGCTGTCTGATGATCTGGCCTAACGGTAGTAAGTATATTAGAAATAGAAGCGGGCCAAGTACAGAGCCTTGGGGCACACCATGGGAAACACAAATAGACCGTGAGCGATTGTTGCCTATCTTAACAAATTGTTGTCTATCACATGGCGATCTATGATGATGTCATAGGTCAGACATAGTTTCATTCAGCATTCCATCCGAATCTCCCGATGTCTCACTGCCTGCACGCTCGATCAGCCCGCTCTGCATCCTCCGTCCGCCTCACCATCTTTCGCACCCTCAACACCTGAACCCATGCTGATCGACACCTTCAACTGGTCATCTTTAATTGGCTTTGTTTGTACTGTTGGGCAGAAGGAAATCCCATGCCAGTGTGTCCAGTTCGACCACCGCACTCAGCGGTGAGTACTATTCAAGAACTGATGTCATTGTAATGACTCCCTTTCATTCTGTTGCAGTGAAAGCCCTCATTGACTCGGGATCGGCAGGCAACTTCATCTCCCTTGACCTTCTCTGCAAGCTCAGAGAAGGTCAAGGGAGATGAAGTTATAACCTACAGAAAATAACCTACTCAGAAGCTCTAAACATCCACTCGATCTAGGGGAAAACCGCTGGGCTGTGGTTACATTCGACACTGCACCCCCACTTTGATGCTCCATCAGGAACAGATTTCATTCATGATGCTGGAGGGTTCCACTGCTGACGTCACCAGCCCATGGATGTTACCACACTATCCTGCCATCTGCTGGAAGAATGATGATTCAACAGTGGAGTGATTCCTGTATCCAGCCTGTCAAGAAACTGTCCATCAAACCATCCATCAACAGTAAAACCTCATCTTCTGAAACCATTGCAATCAACTCCATCACCATTGAGAGTCCAGAAGCTTCAA